TTCAACATGACCGGAATATTTATAAGGGCACCTCAAAATTAGCAAATGAAATATTTAAATTATCCTATTTATCTTTGCAACCTATCTCCTCTTCAGTAATAAAATTTCAAACACCTGTCTCGTGAGAGAGAGAGAGAGAGAGAGGGGGCCATATATCAGGTCGCATGGTTTCCTACTCACTGTTATGTGGGTCTGAGTTTTATTGTAAGTGTGGAGTGGGAATGATATCTTTTTTAATATGCAATATCTGTGCAGATTTCCTGAATTGTAATCCATGCCACAACTCAAATCCTGACCACCATTTTGGTCGTTATGCCATTTAAGGATACCAAATGTGCAGCCCTTGGGCAACTTTGACATTGGTGACAACTTCACCTGGAACATCCGAACTTTGTTGGCAGCGTGGAACGTGACAACAGGCGGTAAGACCTCCATCTTGACTCTGGTCGGACTCTGGACCGTGGCATGCCACACAAAATTGACCTCACTAAAACTGGTCACCCTGCATGACACGGTGATGGGATACCTGAGAATAGGAACCGAGATGGATGGCAGGTTGAGTTAATATGTCGATAGCGCGGTTGTGGCCTTGCACGTCACGACTGTCCTTGATGAGGGTGCATTTGAATATATTTTTTGTAATCGCTTGGATCATTGTTGTAGATGAGGTCGGCACGAGCCGCCCCGCCAGGGTTGATGTTCCCACCTCCGTAGTAGAACGAGTCGGCGATCTTCTGTGATATCCCTTCCACCAGTATCGGCATGCCGCGTTCATCATATTCATATTCAAATTCAATCACATTTCCTTGAGAATCTTGAATGATTTTTAGCTGTCCCCCTCCATTCTTTAGTTTATTCCTCTCCTCCTCCATGTCATCTCTCTCTTTCAATTTTTGCACCTTAAGAAATTCCTCAACCTCCTTCTCTGCACTACTCGTCCTTATCTTCTGGTAGTTCATCTCTAGCACCATCTGCTCTTGAGTTTCCATTAGCATGTTCGCATCATCAATAAGCTAGTTATGTTTAAGCTCAAACTCCTTATTCTTATCTGAAAGCTTGGAATGTTCCTCTGAATGAGCAAGATTGTTCTTGGTTCTTATAGTTTTGCATTCTTCATACTTATCCAGGAGCTTGGGAAGGGTCTTATGGAGTTGTGTAGGCCACTCTATATCAATCCACTGAACATGTCCACAATTTATCCCTTCCTGCAAGACCCAAACAACAATTTCCATTAGGCAATAAGCAAACTTCCTTTTCAAAAACATTACTTTGCGCATTGACTCTAACTATTTTAAACACATGGACGGTGAGCACTAAATTTACTGCTGGACACTAAATAGATGTTTAATGAACTATTTAAAGCAAACTTTCTTAGTTCATTAACTAATTTAAACACATGGACACTGAGCACTTCATTAATTATTTTAAGCAAACTTTGAAAAGATGTTGAATGAACCTAATATTAAACACTTATGGCCAAATAGTTTCACTACTTAACACTACAACCTAACTACATTTGCACAAAATTCATAAGAGCAACATGTCAATGTGGAAGTAGTTAAGAATACAGTCACTAATATGGTCAGCACACCCATAAAACCTCATGCCAATGTTGCTACCGTCAAAGGCGACCGATCTATCCAGCCGAGAGTTGTGGTTGCACAAGATAGAGGCATCCAGATCAATGTCTTCAAAATCCGACAATGGTATGGCCGCAGTGTCGGTGTTAAGGACCTTCAAAACCACGAGCAAGCACGTCAAACCAAAGCCATGGAGTCAAATCACAGTTGAAATCGACAAACAACAAATCAAAACCTAACCGTAGCAGAGCAAATCACTTACATTTGAACTCACATCATTGTCCATGGACTCATCGCAGGTCATGCTGTTGTAATGTGAAACCCTTGTCGGAGGTAACGACGGAACGGTGAATCACGTGGCTGTTGGCAGCAATGTAGCAACAACGGGGTGGCAAATCACGTGATCATCGGTAGCGGCAGCGATAACGACGGGGCAAATAACACGGTCCTCGGCAGCGACGAATACAGGAGAGAGAGAGAGAGAGAGAGAGAGAGAGAGAGAGAGAGAGAGAGAGAGAGAGAGAGAGAGAGCTCAAGGGCGGATGTGTCGAACGACCTCTTCTTACCGCCGCCGACTGAGCTGTTAACGGCTGCCAGCGCGCGTCGTCTCCCTCGTGTCACGTCAGTCTAAATTGCGGGGCCCATTCTCATCAGTCGCATCTCTGGACAATTATCTAGACATCATTGTTTTTGGTAAAAAAAGTTGGTACAAAAAAATTTAATATTCGTTGATGATTTTACGTCAAGGCGAATCATTGTGGCATTTGGTGATTTTTGTCACAATAAAGACGGTTTTATGCGATTAATATTAGAAAGAGATCGTACAATTACTTCCCTAGAAGATTGAGAAGACGACCATAGGACAAAGGGTAGGCACGACTGAGGCCTCTATTGCCAGCGCCCACCAAGTGCATGCCTCTTTTTCCTTGTAAAAAGACCGCAAATAAACATGTCGCGACAACCACACACGACACTTTGATAAAAGAAAGCACGACAGCATCAACATCATGACATGGACAAGCAATAGTGTCTCCATCCGCTGTTTTTTTTTTTTTGAAAACAAGGCAAAAGACCTGCCATTTCATCGATGAAGGGAGAAAGTTTTAGACAGAAACCACAAAGCGGTGAATAAAATGACTACTCTCGCGACGTTACAACACCCAAATATGTCGCTCCAGCCAAAGCCCAAAGCGACACCTCCTATTTGATTTTGTTGATCATGATCATGGAAGGGGCTGCCGAGTTGCGGAAGACTCTAGCATTGCGCTCCGACCAAACCTCCCAAGGGATGAGAATCATGAGGAAGGCAAGTGCCCAGTACCTTTCTCGAGTTAGCCTCGTTCTTGCTTCAGTTTGCTTGATTGCGGATGAGGGCCTCGTTGACTTCAAGCGGTGCTTCATTATCCCACCTTATGCTTGCTTGTAGTTAGTGGGTTTTGTTGTTCGTCCTCAGCACCTATGTATCTTACCGGTTTTTGTTTTTTGTGTGTGGTGCGGTGTTGTATCATTCATTATAAGGGCTTCATTAATTTAAAGCCGGGCGATGGCCTCTTTTCCAAAAAAAAGGTCCATTCAAGAAGGCTAAAGTCATGTCACTTAATCAGGGTTTTTCATTACAGGCCGCAAAATCCGGAAACCGGACTTTCTGGCACCACTGGTAGGAAAAATACTGTCTTGTACTACAAATTTTGCCCAAATTCAACATAATTTGATTGAAATTTGAAAAATATTCAAATGTCTTTGGGCGTAAACTGATCGAAATAATTCTGATATTTCTGATTTTTTTTTTTTGGAAAACGGCCTTTCTGACCACCACTGGAAAAAAGAATCAAAAATGGTAAATAAAAAACTTGCACATATAAAATACGGATGACCTTTGTGAATCACGCTGATGATTATATCCTCTCCATAGTTGCTTGCGTGGAGTAGCTCACTGGCCTTACGAGAAATCAAGAACGTTGGTGTCAAGCTCAGAGATGTTCTGCAATCTTTTCAGTTTTGTCATGTCGGTCCTTACGCGATTTTTACTTTGATCTTTATGATATGAATGAGACATGTATTACCATGCAAAAAAAAACTCACTGACCGGCTTATGGTTGGACGGGTAGTTGAGCCCAAGAAAATCCCAGCTCCACGTACGTGGTGGTGTTCCTGTGTGTTTTCCATCTTCACAGTGTCTTGATTCTTGATCTGGGTGACTTGTGGACTTGCAAGCTGTGAGTTTAGACGTCCAGGTTGAACAACATCGTACAGAGGCGATATATCACTGTTGCCAGAAGAAAGGCGAGTCCACCACATGATGATTTCGGTGTTCTCCAAACAAGTGGCGCATCGACCAGAGAGAAAAATGACAGCGACACCGCCACGGACACCAACTGGAGTGGGACGTACGGTGGCACCACCAATACGGCCGGCCGGAGACGAGCCAAGGTGGAGACTCAAGCATGATGGAAGCAAGCGTGAGTGAGACCACGGTCACACAGCTTTTTCTCTGCTGCTAGCTTGCTTAACGAGCGGCGAGAACACCCGGTGGTCGTCCATCTCACGCTCACGGTGCCGCCCGGTGCTGTCTTATGTTGTCTGTTGCATATATCTGCAGACCTTTTCGCAGCAGCGAAAGAGACCGGCCATCAGGGTAAAAAAGAAGGCACGTACTCGAAGTGGCGGTCACCATGGCTGGTCTCTTCCGCTTCTCCCTCGTCAAGGCGCTGTCTTGGTTGCTCACGGCGTTCTCGATTTCGGGTCTGAAGATGTTGGTCGTCATGTCGTTGGGCTGTGATACTTTTTAGGATGGCAAGTTTAGCTTTGTTTTCTCTGTTTGGACCGAGCATCTCATTTCCTCTGCTCCGGCATCATGTTCACGCTCATGTGTCCGTATCATGTGTTGTACACCATCATGTACTGTTCTAACTCCTTCTATCAATGAAATGATACGCAAGCTTTGCGTATTAAAAAAAATGTTTCCATCTTGTTTGGTTTTTGTTCTAAATGTTAGACTTGCTAAGAGACTACTGTCTATTTTCTATTTCCCCTTTTTCCCCTTAAATCTTTTTCATATCTCTTAACATTTTAGTTAGCATCCAACAATGCGACTCATTACAAACTAAAATTGCAATTAATGGCATTTCACTACAGATACACATCTTCAGACTGCGCATTTTGACTTAGTAGTCTGAAATTCGGCATGACCAAAATGTTCAAAGCTTTAAGGCAACTAAAAATCAGCAATAACATATTTATAATTATCCTTTTGACTTTTGCAACTCATCCTCATCGGTAATACAATTTCAAACACCTCATGTCATGAGAGAGAGGGGCCCACGTCAGGTGGCATGCATGGTTTCCTAGTCACAGCCATGCGGGTCTATATTTTATTGAAAATTTGGAAATGGTATTTTTATTTCATTATGCAACATCCGCCTAGATTTCTTGAATTGTAATCCGGGCCACAACTGGAATCCTTACTGCCTTTTGGTCATTTTGCCAAGTAAGGCTACCAAACGTGTAGTCCCCGTGCAACTTCCACATAGGTGACAGCTTCACCCGATATGTTTGAACTTTGTTAGCAGCATCAAATATAAGAACAGGTGGGATGACCTCCATCTTGACTCCCATCGGGCTCTGCACTGCGGCATGGTACACAGAATTGACCTCGCCGACGTTGGTCACCGTCCTGTACATGGTGATGGGATGCCTGAGATCGGGAACCGAGATGGATGGTAGGTTGATGTAATACGCCGGTAGCGTGGTGGTGGTGTTGCACGTCACAGGCGTCCTCTTGGTGCCGATGGCACATTTGAAGAACTTGCTGTAGTCGCTTGGATCGATGTCATAGATGAGGCCGGGATGAGCCGCCCCATAAGGATTTATGTTCCCTCCTCCATAGTCGAACGGGTCAGCGATCTTCAGCGATGACCCTTGCGCCAATATTGGCATGCCGCGTTCATCGGTTACATGGGCTTAATAACATGCAAAATCAACAAATTAAGGAGAGGTAAGCAACACAAGTGCATGAACTAGTAACCGTATGTCGTTCTACTTGTAGAAAGTTAAACATATGCTAGTTGCTGCCTAGTTAAGTATCACGAACCAGTGGTGACGATGGCTGATTTTAGTGCCGCGGGAGACCAGTCTGGGTGCAGGACTTTCAGCAGGGCGACGATGCCTGCTACATGAGGGGCTGCCTGGGACGTCCCTGACAAAACTGCGTAGGAATCTTTTTTTGCTGCCAAGATGTTGACTCCAGGTGCAGCTATGTCAGGCTGTTAAGGAAGAAAAACCACAACAACTTGAGGTGTGATGATATATACAAGGTCTTGCAGCTGGCACGGTACACACCTTGAGAATGGCGGGGTAAGTAACCGATGGGCCTCTGGAGGAGAAGCTCGCCACTTTTGGGGCCAGTATCTCATTGCCCGTAACGGTGCACGCAGGTTCAATCTTTGCAAGAGGAGAGCTGCTTCCAAAACAAAATCAATGGTATCGAGCATACATTTATCGCTGTGTGACTGGGTCGGTGCATGGAGAGCGCAGAGAGCCCGGCTGGGGACCACATCTCCATTTTGACTTTCTCCAAATGAAGGTTTACTGTTCGTGTATGGTTGTACCTTGAGTCGTCGTAGTATTGGCATATCTTGTCCGCATCGGCGATGTCGACAACTACGCAGGCGATGCCTTGGCAAGCTTCTGCAATGTTAAACAGGTCATCCACAATGGTTGGCGAGACAATGAGTCCAGATCCTCCATTGTCGACGATGTATTGCGCCGCCTGGAGGAAAGTGGCCCCTTTGTCATTGCAGAACAGGATGACCCCTTTCACGTCGGTGCCGTTAAGATCCTCTGCAGTACAACTAAATTCACAAAAGCAAATTCAAGTATGTACTCCCTCCGTTCCTAAATGTAAGTCTTTGTAGAGATTTCACTAGATAGACTACATACGAAGCAAAATGAATGAATCTAAACTTAAAATACATCTATATACATCCGTATGTGGTTCATAGTGAAATCTCTACAAAGACTTACATTTAGGAACGGAGGGAGTATTAGAATTGCTCGGCCAACACAATTTTGCTACTTGCACACTGTTTTTGGGCTTGAGATTTAATTTGGCGCAGCATGAATAAAATTGTGTTGTGTGCATCCCAGTAGGGGTGTAATTGGGTAATCCTTAGGATACCTTTTAACCCTCTTTTTTTTCAAACAAGTGAACTAGTTTTTCAAAAGCTACTTCGTTTGTTTGAAGTAAAAAGGAACAGTAAGGGTCACAAATTTGCACCCCCTACATTGCAAAAGGTTCGGGAAAGTTTTCTTTCTACTTACAATGGCATACATATAAGATTGGTGAAATCGCCCCTGTATGATGAGCTGTTCTTCACTTGGTAATAGAGAGACTGTCCCTGCAAAACGGGCAGCGTACATATCACACTACAGTATATAGTCACATGTAATTTTGATGTAGAGTGGGCGCGTTACGTTTACGTACGACTATTTGTTGCTTGTTTCCCAACGTGATCACCGTCGGGAACGAGCGATCGATGCTGGTCGCTGCGACGGTGATGACCCACGGTGAGGTGTCCTTGATGGTCTGCATCAGATACCCTTTGTTACCGGCGGTGTGCACCACGACGATCCCCTTCTTGACCGCATGCAGTGCAGCGAATGAGTTCTCACTCATTTCGAGGGACAAGGACAGAACGTCCACCCAATCGTGGATGGCGTCGTCGATGGCGGCTAGCACGGCCGTCTCGAAGCATGAACCGTCGCTCCAGCAGGACTTGTACACTGCAAGGCGAGCGTGTGGCGCGCCTCCCCGTGCAACCCCCGCGGCAATGCCATGGAAGCTGGCAGCTGCTTCCTCCACGGCCGAGCCAGCCGCGATGGAGGCCGTGTGTGTGCCGTGGTTGTTGTGGTCCCGGGGCGAGAGCGAGTCTCCTTTGAAGTACTCTTCAGGGACCCCGACGGTGTAGAACTGTGCGCCGATGACCTTCCGGGTCCCTGCAGTTGTTGCTTCCCCAGTCTGGCCCAACCTGGCATTTTCCTTTCCACCTTGATGGCACCGGCCCGTACCCATGGTCGCTGAAGCTTCTCGACTCCGGCCAGATCCCTTGTTCCATTGATCAGTTATTACTTACTATTAGTTAGTGGCCGGCCGGGTTCTTTAAAGAAAGCTGAAGTAGTGATTCTACTTCAACATATAATATATACCAACCTGTGTCAACCATGCCGATGATTATATTCTCTCCGTAGTTGCTTGCCTGTAGTAGCTCACTAGCCGGTGTATGGGACGACGGGTAGTTGAGCCGAAGAAAGTCCCAGCTCCGCGTGGTGGTGGTCTTGTACGTTTTGCTCGGTTCAACACTGATGACTCCTGGAAACTCTGCTCAACATCACACAGTTCAATATACTCGATGAGATGTCCGCTTAGTTCAACTTTCTAGCTGCGTAGGGAAGTCTTTAGTCGCTGCTAGTGGCTAGGCTTTCTTTCGGTTTGTGTTGGCTTTTGGTTGCCTTGTAACAGACTACTAGATCTTGCACTTGCTTGATTTCTCTAATGGAAATCGGAGGGGAAACCCTCTTTTGCTAAAAAAAAACATCACACAGTTCATACCAAAAAATGATAAATGTCGTACCTCCAGTTAACTTTTAAAGCTGCAAATTGTTATTTTAAATATTTACATTGGAAGGTTGGGGAAATAGTATATAGATTTGTCTCAAAAGCATTCTTCGAGTGTCTTTTTGTTTGTTTTATCTTGTGTGTCAATATAAAAAGGGGGCCTATTTAGGAACTAGAGGTGGTAGTTAATTAGTACTCCCTCCGTTTCATAATATAAAAGCGTTTTTGACACTACACTAGTGTAAAAAATGCTCTTATATTACGGGACGGAGGGAGTACTATCTTGCAAGCAAATCTGAGATGATGACAATCAATCGACCTGCAAGCCTTGTTGCTTGGTCTGCGGTGAGCATGGCGGCGAAGCCTGAGAAACCATGCTTGTAGTTGTAGACCATGGAGGCCCAAGAATCCTCCTTGCTAAAAAGGTGCAAAGTAGTAGAACAAATTAAAGGTCATTTAATTTCGTTCTGCAAACAGCCGTTATGAAGAACCTATCAAGTAATTAGTTACGCACCTTTGGAGAAGAGTGGTGAGCATGTCATGGTGCGACGCGACGACCTCGTCTGGGTGCCCATGCTTCACATCGCCTAGGTATGCTATGTAAAGCTGAAGAGGCAGATATGCATGGCTAATTAGCTAAGCTAGCTCGGAGCACATAAACAAGAATTGAGTGTGCATAGAAATTACGTGCCTTGCGAGACCCTCCACCGTGTGCTCTGGATAACAGAATGGAAAAGCATAGCAGCGGTAGTAGCACCCAAGCGGCTACCTGTCGTGCGTGTTGCGTGGAAGAAGAAGAAGAGCCCATATCGTTTCATCTAGCTAGTGCTAGTGGAGTGGAGTACTACCACTTAACCAGTGTGGCGGTATCCAATATTTATAGACCAAAATAGCTAGACTTACGGGCAATTGCTTACGGATGGAGGCCCACCATGGTCATCGTTGTGCCGTATATATTCTTGTGCTCAATATTCAGCACAAATCCATTGGGTTCAGCTCCGTCGATTGGTTATGGTGTATTTTTCTTTCAGTGATACTCAATATTAAAGACTAATTCAGTATGTCGCCACCTCTACGACACGGGAAACCTAGTCACCACCGCCCCCAAGGACA